ATTTATCAACAATTTATATTGTTAAAAGTTGATCCTTCGCAAAGGTATGCATATGTATTTACTGACTCGTTTATACTTTCGTTTGATATTATCAACAATTCGATCGTGGAACTGGTAAACACAACCATGTTGTTGGAAGAAATGTCGTTCGTACCACAAGCCATAGACATTACGGATGAGATAGCTGTTGTAGCCGGATTCTTGACAATTTCATCAGAATTAAACATTGCTGTACGAATGGCTATTCTTTTTGCATTGCATCCGTTACAGGAAATCGGTTTCAAAGAATTGTTTTTTGATGGTCAACAGAACATAGTTGCAACTATTAATTACAATCGACTAAATCATATGTCTGTTGCTATTAATGATGTACGGCAAATAGTCGCTATTGGCTTACCCATCTTTGACATAGTTATGCTTCTTAATATCACTGTTAGTGGTGATGATGGATGGCTCAACTTAACAAGAACAATTAATTCATCTCAAGTCAATGTTGGTTTCGGCCGCTCTTTGGCATGGATAGATGATAAAACGATAGCTATAGCTGTTCTCGATGTTGCTGATCAGTCTTGGTCTCGATCAGAAGTATGGATTTTTAACATGGACATAGGCTTCAAAAGACCACTCTTTGCATTTCCCAATCAACAACAGATACTTAACATGCCGAAACCACCTCTCTTCCTACACATTATCTCCTCGTCAAGAGGCTTGTTAATATTAACAGATCAAAGAAACGCACTGCTCTTGCTATCATCACCAGCAGGATTTCATCCTGTTCTGTATGATAACATTGATGCACTCATTTCTGTGTCCTTCTATGAATTTTGTCCTGCTGGTACTTTTAAGAATAATTCGGGTATTGGACCATGCACTGTATGTCCTCCACAAACAAAGAATCCTGGTGACCAACCATGTATAGAATGTACTCCATGCTTACCAACTTCATTTTGTCCGATGGCTTCCGTTGATGATACCGTTACAAATGTTTCGTATCCTTCTTATACACAAACATTTTCCTATCCGGATACTCCAGATACGGATAACTACGATGATCTTCTCATACAAAACATGTTCAGTGTTGGTAAAACGACTCGCTGTCTGATTATTTCACCTATGTTCTGGACTTTACTTGTCATCGGAATTTGTCTTCTCATCTGTTTCATGATGATTTTAATAAAATTACGTCGTTGCCGTACAGTAAGTCGTCATCGTACTCTGGCCAAAAATTTATTCAAAGCAGCTGACATAATTAATGATGGTGAACGATGGATAGGAGGATTAATTTCATTATCCATCTTTGTTCTATTCGGTTTCGCTTTTCGATTTGCCGCTGAATACGTTAAACTTTATCCGATTGAAACATCAACTGATGCTGATATTTCATGTGATCGAACTCTGCGTAATGCTCTGTTTGACAATGCTCTTCAATTGCTTCTACCCAATCCTGATGGCAATCGATGGCCTATATTTGGCATGCTCGATGAACAAAGAATTAACATGACACTCGATTTAGTAAACACACGAGCCGATTGTTCGGACATGACTTTTCAACAAAATCGTATCGGTGTCAATTATTTATCGTTGTCACTAGCCAATTGTATACTTCAACCAGACAATATTACACGATCAGTGAGTATTGAATTACCAACACATCGTATAAGTGTACAATTAAATATCACTGGGCCATATTTTATTGGTGGATTTCGTCTTTGTCTTCGTGGTCCTGGTCAAATTAATGATGCTTATGAACTTAAAGCTCTAAACATCTGTCAATTCTTTTCAACGCCAAATCAAACATTATCATCTGTTACAACATTATCTGTTGTATTAATTAAAATCATTAATCAAACGAAACCCTTACACGTCAGTGACACATCTAAATATGATGGACGGTGGGTACCAACATTTGCTGAAAATTCACTGTCGGACGAGATGATCTATGAACAATATGGCGACTATCTTCGATACAGTAGATCACGTCACATATTAGCAATTACATTCAGTGAACAACCATTTTTCGTTCAGAATAATCAAAAATCTATCGTTCGTCTAGCTGAACTTGCCTTTCATACTTTACTCTTTTGTACACTCGTGATCGAACTATTTGCTATTGCTTTTCTTCTATTTAAATTGATTAGTAAGCCCACGATTCATCTTGTCAATCTCTGCAAAAAACGATCAAAAAATCAATTATCAGAAATTCTACCAATTCCAACGAAAAATTATGCGAATAGAAACAATTCAGCTCGTAAGAAATCTCATCGATTGACATCTCTCGATCGGCTTCGACTAGTGCGTGATTTGAAACGACGACAGAGAAAACAACCTAATTTAAAAAGTTCAAATGAAACTTTTCGTGTCTCGCCTGAATTAACATCTATTGAGATTGAACGAAATTATTTCTAGTTATGAAAAAGTTCTTTATTATTTTTTTCTTATCCTTTTTGGAATATGACGGTAAATCTTGACGATCGCTTCTTGTGAATTCGATTCTTTAAATAAACTCTGGTCTGGCTATAGTCGTTCAAAGAAATAGCCTAATAAAACTTTAGATCTGACCTACTGTGATTATACAATTATGATTTTTCTCATTACGTAAAACTCCTTTTTGTGATAATTTGCTGAATGCGGTTGATGCTGATACTAGTATCACATTTAAAGCTGTGCTTTCCTTGTCATAATTAAATGCTATTACGACGATTAGTATCAATGAGGCTCCGATGTTCGTATTTCGACCAATGAAGATGATCTATAGGAAAAAAGATTTTCTCAGACACAAATTTTGTCTGTAATTCTTGTCGATAAATCTATACCATAAATATCAAACATATCAATACTTTCGACGATTATTAAGAAATTTTGTCCACTTGCTCGTTTTAGTAAAAGACTTGTACCATGTACCCCAAGTTCGATGAGAATTTCAATTCTTAATAGTGTAAATGAAAGTTTTCTAATTGAAGATTTATCAGATTGTCTCAGCTGATATCACGGTTTCCTATCTGAAGTGCAAATTAGAAAAAAATATGCAATTGATATTTTTTGAGCATAATGATTGCATCTTTACACAGATAAGACAGAACTAATACAGCACTTATGAACTAGGGTGTGGGTGTGAGTGTGGGTATGCATGTGGAAGTGTGTTATGCATCTATTATCACGTCCACACCCGCGCCCACACTCCAAATTGAGCATTTTCAAAATATATTTCTTCCAGTTTTTCCTGTATATAAATTTCAAAATATGAAGACTTGACTAACTCGTTGAATTCTACAGTAATCTTCTTTCATTCAATACATAATGATGAATATTCTAAGAGCAAAAAAAAACATTGAAAAATCGCTCTAGGATTTTTATTCTTCCTTTTTTTCTTCCTTTCATGATTATGACTTACATATTGACCTCTAGAAAGTATGTCTTCTTATCAAGTATGATCCGAAATAAATTTGCAGAATTATTGTTGGAAATAAACAAAACGTTGCACAGTTTAATTACAAAACGACGCTGGGTGGGTGTGGGTGTGGGTGTGGGGTGTGGGTGTGGGTGTGGGTGTGAGTGTGGGTGTGGGTGTGGGTGTGGGTGTGGGTGTGGGGTGTGGGTGTGGGTGTGGTTGTGAGTGTGGGTGTGGGTGTGGGTGGGTATTTCTTTCATCAATACTCGTACCCACATCCACACCCACACCCACCTTCACCCACACCTCACACACCCACACCCACACCCCACACCCACACCTCACACACCCACACCCACACCCACCCACACCCACACCCACACCCGTCTGGGTGATGGTGTAGATGATGACATGGCACCTACACTTCAGACTCACATCCGAATTCATTGAGTAAACCTGTCGATATTAAGTTTCTTTATAAAAGTTTAAACATTGTTGTAAGAACTTTTGGTCAACCCCTCTAAGTAGATCTTTGATATTAACTAACTTTTTTTATTCGATATAGGAATTTTGATATAGTTACTTCCTAAACAGTTCATATTTTTATAAATAAAAAAGATATACTACATTATTCTAAAGATATTGAAAGAAATAATGCAAACGTTCAAAAATTAACTACATTATATCACATATCTGTCTAGGTTCAATAGAAGACAATCTAAATTACTTGTCTGAAACATAAGATCGAAGTAGAAAGGCACTCTTTGAAGAGTTTAGATTGATTTTGACTAAGATTGGCATTATTTTCTAAAAAATGAATAATTCAGCTATTCTTCTTTATTTTACTGATTAGTCTAGACAGTGTGAACAGACCAAACGAACTAATCATGACAAGATATGAATTCTTTCTAGACTAATGTATGTTTAGTTACATCAAGACGAATTGTAAATCATTTCAGACTAGGCCAGATAACAGTGCAAATATCTGAGATTAATCATTGTTAGGTATCATCCTTTATCTATTTATTGTTCGTGCAAAAGTATATAAATTTTTTTGTGAAAATCTGTACAAATCAATTGGCTTTTGTCAAAGCAATACAGAATATAAATAAATACCATTGTGAATCATTCTCACTTTATTTTCAAAGTAAAATACAATAATTAATTACGAGCAATAAGGTGACCGTACAAGATTCTACTTCCTTTTTTTTTAATCATCTTTGCTCTAATGTGGAGGGGAAAAGAAAGATAAGAAAATTTTTATAATGTATCACTAAAGAATGATAATCCTCTTGCTTTTATAATTTAGAAATCGTTTGGAATATTCAACTAAATATATGATCATGTCTCATTGCTGTTTTTTTGATTTATTACCTGCAGAATTATTATATATTTTATTTAATTATTTTTCTGGACATGAAATTCTAATAAGTTTCTATGGTCTTAGTGGTTATATGAATGCTATTTTACGATCTTATTCTTCTTACAAACTTAATTTTAAATCAATATCAAGATTTAATTTTGATCTTATTTGTCGTAATATTCGATCTGAACAAATTATTTCATTAATATTATGTGATAGTGATGATACATCTGGTCAATCAGAATTATTTTTTTCTTATTTTCAAATTGAACAATTTATTCGACTTCAATCACTTACTTTAATTGAAATTGAATTTAAATCATTAGAATTTATTTTTTACAATTTATCAAAACTTAAACAATTACGTTCATTTTCATTTGATGCTTCTACAATTAGACATACATATGGACCAATGAATCTTAATTTTGGAAATAAACTTCAACAGATAAATTCAATATTAATTCATACTTATGTTCAAATATTACCTCAATTAAAGTTTTTATATTTAAATGGTGGTTGGGTATTAGATTCGATACCACTTTCGAATCTTCAATATTAAAAAACTTGGAAGTTGTTCTATCGATAAACTCGAAACAATTACTCATTTAGCACCACAACTTAAATCATTTGACGTTTGTATTAATTTCGGCGAGATAAATTTTCAACCTATCATATTACCAATTCGACTTACTCGACTCAATCTAAAAATTGCCTGTAAGTATTATTTCAATAAAACAAGACTAAAATAATAAATACAATGTGATATAACGATAAATTATGGTTACTCTTTACTTATTTGTTTCTGTATGACTTGATTATTATATAGAGAAGATTTCGTCACAAATGATTCAAACATAGAGCAGTATTTGAGTTTGAGCTTAAAACGAACTAACTTTTCATATTCAAATGTGTAATCGTGAAAAAATTGAAGAATAGTTTATATGAAAACTCTGCATTTGAACGTGAGTTTATATTAATTATGAAGCTTATTAGTTCATTTTATTCTTGCATTATTGAGATTACTTCAAAAACAGATAAGAAAAATAATCTTACCAGAAAAAAAAGAATTTGCCTAAGAAATTTCAAAATTTTCAATCATTTTTTTTTGTTTGTTTCTATTTATTGTTGTCAAATAATTTGAATGACTTAATTCAGTAGTAATATTGTTTCTGGAAAATTTTCGATATATTTCATTAAATTCTCTATCATTTTTCCAATATGAAAATGAAATGTCATTGAGAAAATCTTTTCATTTTGGTGTTCTATAGATTTTCCGATGCCAATGGATTATATGGAATATTTTCTATCGAATTGCTTTTATCTAAAGCATCTTGAATTACATTTGAATGGTTATAGTGATCTAGCGGATGGACAATGTTGGCAAATATTAACTAATTCTTTAATCACATTTAATTTCAAATTCGATATGCATATATGTTTTGATTGTATTGAACAAATTCTTGGTTCATTTCGAACATCATTTTGACTTGAAGAAAAACATTGGTTTGTTGCATATTACAATGATTATCTATTTTCTATTCCTTATTTTGCTCCTGAACAAGTTAATTCTTCTTGTCAATCAGTTATTTATTCAACAGCACCTGATAATAGGATTTTTTATAATAATGTAAATGAATTAATTGTGATAAAAGGTAAAATTGGCAAACATTATTTCACTAATATCAATGTATTAAAACTCAAATATTCAATTGCATTGAAATATTTATTACGTATAATCGATCTTAATCAAATTAAACATTTATCAATTTTATCTTTAGAAGATTTACTAAAATTTATACCAATTTCAAAAAAACTACCTTGTTTAAATGAACTCTCTATTAAAAATGATATAACAAAACATGCAATAAAATGAATGCTTACTTATTCTTTTGAACAAATTCAAAAGCTTAAAATTAGAATTAGCAATAAGTATAATCAATATATTATTGAAGTATTATTCCGTTTTTGTCCATGTACAAAATATTTAATATATAAGTCTCGTATCCCGTCAACATATATCATGATTCGTTTAATAAATGGATTTGAATATTTATTAAATGCATCTTTTATTTCATGTGGTCCATTTTCTAATCGAGAACAAACATTTCGATATAATCCATATTTAATTGTTCCACGAATAAAACGACTTACACATGGTACTTCATTCTGTCGAATATATCATTTACCTAACAATGGATCAGACTTTATTATCAACTGGTGGATTGAAGAACAAGTAAGTCTTTCTTATGTAAATACAATTATTGTTGATATTCTTATTTAGCCATCAAAATCTAATTTAAAACTTTGTTCATCGTCATACAAACAGAAAAACTTTAGAAAATCATCATTGTTCAAATTTTGTTTTAAATTGAAATTGTATTTTGTTTTTTCTTGTTATTGATTTGTTATTAATATTTAATTCATTATTTTTGTATGTAAACAAGATGTATCATAAGTTTTATTAAAATTTTTTTTAAAACAAATTCTTAGTTGCTTTATGCTATGAGTTTAATCAATCCTGATCTCACGCTTCAGATTATTCAGACACATTGTTAATTCGTAGTCAAATAGTTATGCGCCAGAGTCTGACTCGGGTCAGGTCATGATAAATTGACCGAGGTCGAAACTTCATATAAGGCAAACAGAAATTCTACATGAGATAATGACTTCGTTCTTTTTCAATTTCGAGAGAGCTCATTCACCGAAAAGAATACATAAGACAGGATCCATGAGACCATCAAGAATTTACGCCAGATACTATTGATATTAATCAATTTAATGAATTAATGAAAACAGATTTAAATGATTTATGATTATTGCTAACGCAGTACATTTATACAAGACCATTGAATACACAGAAATATCCTAGAGCATCAAAAAATGATCTTCATTATATATTTTTACTGTATACGGGAATTGTTTTTATATCAGTTATTTATTATTCAAATTATCTGATATTTAAATAGCACAAGCTGGTTGTTTTCGTGCTAATAGGAACATGCATTTTGACCTGAGACCTTTGGTACATTGTAGCACCATTGAGCTCTTTGTGAGCAAAACTTCAAATCTAAATTTCACTATTAGATTTTGCATGATATATCTTAATGTCGACCAAACTTTGATAAATTGAATGTAATTCTCGAAGAAAGATCTATTGCAGTAAGGGTGTGGGTGTGAGGTGTGGGTGTGGGTGTGGGTGTGAGTGTGAGTGTGGGTGTGGGTGTGGGTGTGGGCGTGGGTGTGGATAAAATGGACACCCACACACCCACACCCACACACCCACACCACACCCACACACCCACACCCCACCCTCGTTATTGTAAATGTGATTATCCTCCAGAATAATTTATTCTTCGTAATCAGGGTGTGGGTGTGGGTATTTATGTGTGCATTGTCTTCACATGTACTACACCCACACCCATCCACACCCTTTAATCTGATTCTACCATAAATCATTTTTATCTGGGCTACCAGCATGTGAGGATTTTAGATAGAAGAGTCGTTAACGCTGATGGAGTTACACTTTATTTGGCTTCTTCGTATGATTAATCGTATCATTGACATACAAAGTACACCCTTATATACACAACCAGGAAAGAGAATAAAAGAGCATGGAAGGAGAGAAGGATAAGTTAAGGAAAGGACAGTAAGGTAAGAACAATGAGATAAGACCAATAATGTAAGGACAATCAATATAAATGAGAGTACATGAAAAGAGAAGGTTACACATCATGTATACAATAAACTCAATCAGGAACGTCACACAGCAGAAATTTTCCAATATTGTCCACTGTAAGCACCGGTTGCAGAAAGCATAGGTGTATTATTAGCAATGTCAAGAGATTTACCGTCCCCTTGCGATTGTGTTGTTAAACGATAATATCCATTCCCAATTGGAGTAATCTTCCAATATTGTCCACTGTAAGCCCCGGTTGCAGCAAGTATAGGTGTATTATTAGTACCATCATTAGCAATATCAAGAGATTTACCATCGCCTTGCCATAGTGTTGTCAAACGATAATATCCATTCCCAATTAAAGTAATCTTCCAAAATTGTCCAGTGTAACCCCCGGTTGGAGCAAGTCTAAGTTTATTATTAGTACCATCATTAATAATATCAAGAGATTGATTATCGCCTTGCCCTTGTGTTGTCAAACGATAATAAATGGTTGAATTAAAACCACTCTGTTCAGCTAAAGTATGAATGATAAAAATAGAGAATTTACTGCTAACAGTGATTATATCATTGCTACTGATGACTCAAAAACATTAGTCTCCGACTGTATTAGCTTGTTTTCTCCGATAAATGATTCTCAAATTTATTTAAAAACAGCACTCATCCAAGTATTATGGGCTCTTGAAGGCTATTTAGCAAAGGAATCACATTTCTTGTCTCATTCGACACAATAGTGACACTGAGGTTTTTCATGTGTCTCGCATACAAGTCGTTTGCTAGCTGGTGCGCCCGTTCATCTACTCTTCTTCATTCTTGATAATTATTCACATAATTTACAGCGCCGACGTTTTACTCTGTCATCATTTATTATTTAAAGTTTCTAGTACTCATCCATGTTGTGTCGATTCTGCAGTTTTTCTTCTATTCTATTCATCTCTCATCCTTCGAATCTGTCTTTTTTTTTACCGTCAAATATAACCAATCTGCAATTTTTAACAGTGTAAAAAAAAATGAACGCTTTTCCTATACCATTTCATCGTTACATGAACTGGCTGGAATGTCGTGATTGACAAATACATGAATGAATACCACCATTTCAGTATGCCAGTACAACCACAAGAAGAAATATTGAGATTCAGCGATTTGGAGCGAGAATGTCTGAATCCAAGTGAAACTGAAGAATTCATTGTTTCAACTCGCAGATGAACTAGAAAGTGTGACGGCGCATTTTTGACGGAAAGTAGCAGAACGAATACCAGCATGAACTCAAACCAAAATAAAAATCAACAAACAAGCCCTCTTGGGCATGTATGTGATGTGTCTCTTCAGATTCACATCCACGCCAACATTCACAAATGTGAAATTTGACAAGAAATACTTTAGGCATTGCACTACATGCTGGTGTCACGAAACACTAATACGCCGATATCGTATCTTATGATTACGTCACAATTAGGGGTGATAGACTTGGCCTTTATCAAGACTTGGTTCAAAATCATTGTCTTCTGTTTGATCTGATGTCTCAGCGAAAAATAAAATTCATTTCAGCATTTCGATTAAAGACGGAAGCACATAAGCCCATATTTTGGGCCATATTTTTTCGAGGCAAAGATACGAAAATTATAGAAGTTTGTAGTGCTTGAGCTGGTGAACCTAATTAGTTGTGTGTAAATATTGCAAAAAATCCTCAAATTAGGGTACTTATACCACTCGCAAGCTTGCCCTAATTGTCGTAATGGAAGATAAGAGTACGAATGTTGCTTCTGAGAGAAAGTTACAGGTTGATGAGCCTGTTCATTCTAACAGAATCCTCTGGTTCCTGTCAAACCACAAAAAATTTGAACTTTGAATTTTGACTTAAAACTTTTTACAAACAAAAGGTCTCAATGAGAGTAGCTTATTATGAAAAAGACCACGCCGGATAAGATCATAAATCTACCACCCCCCCCCCCCCTAGATTTCATCTTCAATAGTGTAGAAAGATAGAGCATGAAATTCTGCACATTTTTGTATATTTATTTATTTTTTTGTCAGTACCAAAAAAAAATTTTAAGGATGAAATAATCTTGGGAAGGTATATCATTTTTGGGTTTCTCATATAATAATTATGGTATTCAAAACTTTTCTTTTGTAAACTTTTTATGAAAACTAATAGTGTAGATCGATAGAGTTTTTCGTGCTCTACAAAATGGAATAAATAGATAAATTTCAAATTGTCCCAATCAGGGTCTATAAGACTCACAAATGTAAGAACATATACAAAAAACATATTAAACGATTATTTTTGATAAGTTTCAAGTGAGTTTTCTGGCTAACGATCATTTGCACAAGATGACGACTATCATGGAAAAATTCTTCGTCATTTGCTCTACAAATGGTGTAAGTTTGAAAGAAAAAATTATAGTCCCAAATATAAGATATTCGATGATTACTTTTGAGCAGTCGCTATTTTACTCGTATATCGATGTTTTTTTGGGACAAGTCTATGAAAATCGACATCAGCTTTTCATTGAGTAAGGATAACTACGGTAAATAGTGTTCTATGAGCTAATTCAATAGACATCCTTAACCAATCTTTACTATACATCAGTATATCTCATCATTACAGCTCTGTAACAGTTACATGTTGAAGTTCTCAGAAAGCAATAAATCTAGTATTTTATAATACTCTGTCCTTGTCTTACGTATTCAGTTATTATAGTGACCAACTGTGAACTTTAAGCTATGGAGTTCAAATAGAAAATATGTTGCACGCGTCTACATATGTATCGAATAGGCTGTTTTAAAAGTTACTAAATCATAAGATCCAGAGACTAACGTCTCTAATTGAGTAGTAGCATGAACATAAAGTTTAAATGTTCCAAAAATGAGATAAGAATTAAGGAATCAATTCAAGTAACAGTAATTTAGATCAAATCACATGCATTGGTGAGTTTATGATTGGGATTGAAAATAATAGTTACGCTCTCTCGTCCCTCTCATCTCGATATGTTGATGCAATCATAAACACTTTAAAATGCATTCACCGCTTTGTTCCGAATAAAAGTAGACACTAGTACAAGATCCAACGTACTAGATTCAGCGAAATCTACCACTATATTCACATTCTAAAATCTCACTATGTAAAAGCAGAATCTAATTTTACGATATCACCAGAAGTATAGTAGTCTCTCTCTCATTCCTTATTAAATAGTGACTAATACAAAACTCACAAAGAAACTACAGATATCTATCGTTATAATTTTAAGAAAAATCTACGGTAAAAGCTTCCATCCTCTTATCATACTCGGACCTGTTGTGGTTGTAGTTGTTATTGTGCTTGTGGTTGTAATTGTGCTTGTAGTTGTTGTTGTTGTTTGACTGATGTTTGTAGACGTACTTATCGTATTTGGTTCTGTTAAATAAACAATACAAAAGGAAATATCAAGCACCGACACATTAAATGGAAGTTTGTAAAATGAAATGCAAGACGAACACTATAGCTTTATCTATTTTGAATCTACAGATTTTTGATAAGACAGAAAATGAGAAAAACTATTTTTGGTTAAGATTATTCACAATTATCAAGTTCATTCTGGATTGTAAGATTAATTGAATATGTTAGAACTTAAGTTATGCTAGATGATGTGTTCAAAGTTGCTATCGTATTCCATGTAGGAGTCATTGATTTCGCTGTCGGACTGCGTAAAATGCATTCATGAATGTGATCGTGTTCGCCTAAATCTTAAAACACTCGTTTCCCTCCTGATTACCATAATTCCCGTCTTGTGCTCTATTATGATGCACCATAAAAACAAGTATGGAATTCTTAAATAAATAGCAAAAAACACAATGGTTACTACGGAACTAAATAATACATCGAAGTAAAAATGGAAGAAGAGAGTTAGACTTGCGACTTCAAATTGTAATATGATGATCCATAAATATAGATTCTATGTACAATGCGAATATTTAGACAAATGGAATGAACTTTCTTCAACTTCAAATTTTCCAATTGTCCTTAGTCAACAATCCAATATATGTTCATCAGGATGGTAAGCAGTGACACTTCTTTTTTTTTCTAATTCAAACTTTTGTTCACATGATTTTATTACAATCTCATTCTTATGATTATAAATGTTTTCCCTTACAGATTTCTACACTAAATTCGTTGTGCCATCTATATTTCAGTTAAGATCTGCTATATACATATGCTGGTTGCTTTTGTCAAAGCAAATACTTTTTTTCCAAATTTTGTGCATAAATTAATGGAAAAAACGAACAGAAAATTTTCTTTCATATCCTAGTAGATATTTTTCAGTTTTGTAACAGCTGTGTTGCATTGCAATATGTTCATGTGCATACTATTTTCAACTCATATCATACAGTGAAATAAAAACAAAACGGATGAAATTAATTATAGTAAAAATTTTCTAACTAATCAGAAAAAAAAATCACAGAGTAATCTAATAGACAATAAATGATTTGGATTTCTCGGATTTTCACTATAGCCGAAAACAGATGGGATTAAAATTCGTGATCATATCATTAAGACAGCAAAGGCTACTATTGATTTATCAACTGTACGGTGTGAGTAAGTGCCGTCCGCTCGAAAATATACAATTAACTATATTAAAGAACAGTATCAACATCTTTACTTATCATTCACAGGAGTTTCTTTATATAGGTCAACCAATTTTAGCATATTTTGTTAGTTGCTCTTATCTTCAATTGAAGTTATTACGTCTACACGAAAGTCTAATTCATTTTCTTGTTTCGTCGAAAAGGAAACTTAAAACAATAGTAAGAAGGGTGTGGGTGTGTGGGTGCGTGGGTGTGTGGGTGTGGGGGTGTGGGTGTGGGTGTGTGGGTGTGGGTGTGTGTGGGTGTGGGTGTGGGTGTGTGGGTGTGGGTGTGGGTGTGGGTGTGTGTGGGTGTATGTGGGTGTGGGTGTGGGTGGGTGTGGGTGTCAGTGTGGGTGGGGTGTGGGTGGGGTGTGGGTGCGGTTGTGGGGTGTGGGTGTGGGTGTGGAGTGTGGGTGTGGGTGAAGAGAAGATCACTACTCTCACCCACATCCACTGCCACACCAACACCCACACCCACACACCCATGCCCGCACCCACACCCACACACACCTACACCCTCAAACTTTAATATTTTTAAGATTTTAAATGCTGGATTATAATGACTTTGTATTGAATTCATATGTAAGTCTGGCAAGACTATAATAAATAAAAGCCACCTATTGCCTAGTCTCTTTTTCAATGCTCTATCACGCCCTAGCAAATTTGATGCTTCTACATTCAACTGTTTAAATAGCTACTAAGTAAAAGAATTACTAAACTAGATTCTTATCTATATTGGTTACTACAGTGATCCTTCGCAATATACTGTGAGGGGGGGGGGGGAGGCAATTGAATTTATCCCTTTGGTTTTTTAAATTTTTATTACTATATTTCTTTCATTTTTTAACCTATTATATATAGAAAGTAAGCCAAGAACGCGCTGCATCTTTAGCAATATTTAGGTTGAACATTAAATACAATTTAAACAAGAAAACCTTTAGTAGAAAAAAAAGTGAGATTTTTTTAATTCCGATAGACATTGACACCTATTACCCATTTCAAAGTAAAAGAAGGATGAGTATTTTTGAGATAACTTTTGATAGGTAGAAGATATCGTTCTACGGTTTCCACCATTCGAAAGAGGAGATGAATCTGCATCAAAGTTTATATTCGAGATTTTTCTGGCAAAATTTTCTAGAGTCTTTAACCCAGGTTTTAATATTCTACTGATTTTTCATGTATGTTTTAAGAAAAAATACACCTTATCAACCTATCGAAGCGTCAGTTTTTTAAAACCTTCGTTAAAGACTCTAGAAAATTTTGCCAGAAAAATCTCAAATATAAGCTTTGATACAGATTCATCTCCTCTTTCGAATGATGAAAATTGCAGAACGATACCTTGTACCTATCAAAAGTTATCTCAAAAGTACTCATCCTTCTTTTACTTTGAAATGGGTAATAGGTGTCAATGTATATAGGAATTAAAAAAATCTCACTTTTTTTCTACTAAAGGTTTTATCGTTTAAACTGTATTTTATGTTCAACCTAAATATGCCAAAAGATGCAGCGCGTTCTTGGCTTTCTTTCTATATATAATAGGTTAAAAAAGGAAAGAAATATAGTAATAAAAATTTTAAAAAAACAAAGGGGGAAATTCAATTGGGCTCCGCAGTATGTTTTCTATTGTCGCATCATACTTAAAAAAATTGTTCTTCTAAAAAAAGTAAGAAGGAAACAAAACATAATTAAGTAATATATAGAATCATTATTATTTTCAAATACGCACAGAGAGTTACTAAGAAAACATCTATTTCTTAATGTATGTTGGTAACATCTTTCAGCATATTACATTTCAAACTAAATAGTCTTTTTAAAACTCTTTTCTTAATTACAGAATTTATCATAAAATAAGAGTGACATGAAAAATGATTTTCTAATGCGCTTCTATTTTTTTTTCGGCTACCATTTCAACTTCTTTCTTATGATCATCAATTAATCAATTAGAACCATTCCTTGTTAAAAATCTGCGGCATCGATTATTTTCATTAAAGAACAACTGAAAGTACATATTGATCGACAAAACATATTTGGTGTATAAAATTCTATCTGGAGAATAAAAACCAACCATATCAATAATTTTCAGAACTCTTGTGTTAATTAACTCGAACCAAATGACATTGCTTTACAAGAACTGATCCAACTCATATGGATAGTCTTTTATCAAATATATTACATATTGAATGATGAACTTATACTTAATGTAAATTACCTTTCTACAAGCCGATACAATACTAATGGGGGTGTATTGTATATTCTATGTATCTGAGAATATTTTTTGTGTATTTCACGAATAATTTGTGATAGATGTGATCGAAAAGATTTCTAATGAAAGCTGTTTATGCTCGTACTAACCTGGAGGCATTCGTGTTCCATCAATGACGATCATAGCTGTAGTGCCGACATTTGCAATCAAATTTCCGTTGGTACCTGGTTTATCGTTAAATATTTCACATTGCTTAGATGATTGACGAAAATTGACAGTGCGACATTGTTCTTCCCCCAAGCAGACTGTATTGCATTCGTATAGATCGGAAACTGTTCTAATAATAATTAGTTGAGAGGTTAAATTGAAATATTGAAATTGAAAATTGACATTTATA